TCCAACCATTCTCTTACCATTAATATAATACCCTGTAGATGACGTTTGCCAACTTAAGTCATATTTAGGACATCCCCTAGGAGGGTACCAAATTTTTCCTTTTCCCATTTTTTAATCCATATAACCATTTACCTAGATGGTGGGAAGAGGATGGGGATTTCTATTGTTTATTAATTTCTTTGGTAAAAACAATTGCTCATGGCTATTCATAAGGTGTTTTTAAAACATCCATTGGTGTAATAAATTGACTCAAAAGGGACAATTTAGAATTGTTCAATCTTCCCGGATCTTTTGTGGGATAATCTAATTTTATGACAACAACTGTTTGTGTGTCATTTTTTACATCTTTTCGAAACTCAGTAAACTGCCATGCTGACCAAAACATCAAAAGAGAAAGTGAAAGCTGCACCACTGTGCCAAGGCAGAGATCTTTACAGTGAAAGCAAGTGCTGGTAGCTGTGGCCCTGCCAGCAGCTCTCCCTCCGGGGCCTTGCCAGCTCGGAAAGGGCAGCCCAAGCTATTCTTTTCAAGACCCGCCATGGCGTGGACCGTGCCACTCATCTGTCCTGCTCTCCAGATGGCTCAGTTCTCAGTGGCTTCCTCTTCCCAACTTTGCTGCACATGACCTGGAGTCACCTAATGAGGATAGCAGCTGGGCAGGGTCACTCCAGACCTTGCCTTCCAAGCTTCCCGTCTACCCGGCGGGGTCACTGGGGTGTGGGTCTGGGGCCGCTGGCCGGGTGCATATCTCAGCTCCTCCGTTTCCAGGCCGGGGCTTGACCAGGTTACTCCAGTTCTCTGTGCTAGAGTTTTCTCCTCTGTAAAGTGGGGATAATGATGTTAGCAACCACGTAGGGCTGTTGTGAGGAAAACGTATACGGGACTGAGAACAGCGCCTGCACCTGCTCAGTGCTCCGAAAGGCTTAGTTGTTGTTGTTCTTAATGCAGGAACTAGTACCTGGGTTTCTAAGACACAGTGCTGTGCAGGTGTGGGGAGCGTGTGGGTCCAGTCTACCCTAGCCAGCCTGTGCTAAGAAACTTTTAGAGTTGATAAGGGCCGTCCCACCATCTCGTTTTGCTTGTTGATGCCCTTAAAGAATTTAGGAGCAAATAAGAAGAATCTCAGAGTGGGAAGACTTAGAAACTGTCTAGTTCAGCCTCCAGCTCTATTCACAGTTACACCCACCAAAGTCTCTTACCTAGGGCCAGCCCATGGCTCATTTGGGAGAGAGTGGTACTAATAACACCAAGGCCATGGGTTCAGATCCCTATATAGGGATGGCCGGTTAGCTCACTTGGGAGAGTGTGGTGCTGACAACACCAAGTCAAGGGTTAAGATCCCCTTACCGGTCATCTTTTAAAAAAAAAAGTCCCTTACCTGCCTGCATACCCCTCTGCCAAGAAGCTCACTGCCTTCCGAGGCAGCCCATTCCATCCTTGGTCAGCAGAGAAAGCTTCCCCTCCCAATCAGCTAACACTGCCTCCCTTGGGGCCCCCTAGTTCTCATCTTTGCCCCACTGTCATCCTTGTCAAATACGCCTTATGGGGCCATGTAACATGCTGCTTGCCTCCACCCTTGAGTCTTGGAGATAGCAACATTATAACCTTTGTCTTCTCTTCTCCAGGCTGTGGTCCAGAACCTTTGAAGTAGAGAGAAACTGTCACCTCCCCAGTTAGACCTTGATGGATTTTGGAAGTGGCCGGCGCCATTGTGCACACAATAAGCACCAGCATAAAATAGCCACCCGCCTCGTCTTCCACTCCAGCACCAAGCCCCTACCCGCTTCCCTTTACAAGAAGCCTCCTGACTTAGAAACAACTTTCCAGCTTCTGCATCGGCGCAGTTCTCCACCCAGTTACATCAACCTGATGGTCCCTCCCCCCATATATTTCACGCTCAACAGCTAATATAAACTCTCACAATCCCATTGTTGCTGCTGTCCCCCATTTTCAGGGCAGCCCTGCAGATTTCTTTCTTTAATAAAGCTTGAACGGGACCCGGCATCTCAGCTCACTTTCTTTCATTGTGGTGCCGAAACCCAGGAAGGCTTTTGGCCGATGTTGTGGACAATCCCCTCTTTCTTGGGGTGATTGGCCCTTGGCCACCCTTCCGCAACCAGGTGCAACCTTGGCTGCAACCAGGTGCCTCCGGGACTCTCTTCTTTTGCCGTTTCAGACCAACGCATCCAACACCAGTCTCAATTCAGGGCGAGTCAGTGGGTCTGTCCTGCCTACTTCTATGGGTTCCCCCAACTACTCTCTACGACTTCGGTCTCTATGAAGCACAGGCGCCTGGCTGAGGGAACTCTTCTCGTGCCCCCCAGCTATTGAAGGATGTTTCATTAGCAGGTCATGGCTTTTCGCTCAAAAAGAAGGTGGGCACCAAAGGGGGTGCCCTTTGCTGGCACTCTTCTTCTAGCAGGACTGACTGCCCTTTCTCACCCTCTACACGGGATCCTCACGATCCAAACCTCCATGCTCTGTGCCCTTGGGCTGTCTCCTGGCCAATTTCTTGGCTTCCAGGGAGACATTAAAACTCAAACGCCTCATTACAATGGATCCCAGTCGTCACAAGATGGCACTCGATTTAGACACTCACCAAAATAGCAAAAGCTGTAGAGATTCCTTGTAAGGCCTTCTCCTATCTCTGAAAGCATTCTTCTCTCTGTCAAAACTGTCCTATGTCTCAAATTCTCCTAGCTCATGCTCAACTTCTCTTTCCAGACTCAGATCAATCTCCTGATCCGTCAACCCTCCACATTTCTCTCCTCCCCACACCTGGCCCCCAGATGCTCATCCTCAGCCCAACTCCTCCCCTTCTCCCCCTTCTCAGGTAACAACCCCACCTCAGCTCTGGCTTTTTATAACCCTTCTGTGAAGTGGCTGTGATGGAGGGAATTGTCTGAGTCCATGTACAGGGAGCAGGTCTGGATGGCAGCTCAGGTACATGCTCAAAATAGTAGGTGGCCTGTGGGAGCCACTGCTGTTCCTTGCACAGACCCAAATTGGAACCACCAGGCTGGCCATGGAGATCGGGATCTCCAGGATAACATGATCACACACCTATTCACAGCCTCCAAAAGGCTACTTACAAGTCAGTCAATTATGACAAGCTTAGGGAAATCACACAGAGATCCACTGAAAATCCCAATGAGTCCCTAACCCACCTCTCTGAGGCTTTACATGAATACACACATATAGACCCAAACTCCCCTGCAGGCATAGCCCTTTTACACTCTCATTTCATTAACCAATCAGCCCCTGATATTAAAAAAAAAGAAAACTACAAAAGAGATCAGGCCAAATACCAGCTCCTGGCTAATGCCATCCATGGCTTACATACTCCAAAGCTGGCTGCCTTAAGAGGCAAGCCACCCAAGAACTGCTTCAAATGTGGTCAACCGGGCCACTGGGCACAAGCATGTCCCAATCCATGGCCCTGTCCAGGGCCCTGTCCTCATTGAAAACGGCCAGGTCAGTGGGGGATTGACTGTGCCACTCGCCAGAGAGGGAGTGGCCCAGTCCCCACCTACAGCCTTTGGCTTCACGGCCATCCCTTACCAGAGCTTCTTGGCTTTGCCCAGAAGGAGGACTGATGGTGCCCAGGGCCTGAGGCCCCCATGGAGATCACCACATGTGAGCCCAAGGTGACTCGCCTCATAGCAGGTAAGCCAATCTCTTTTGTCATTGATACAGGGGCCATTTACTTTACCCTTCCTAAGTATGCAGGACCAACAACCCCATCCTCTATCACAATAGTAGAGGTCACAGGATCAGAATACCACCCATGGATCACTCAAGCCCTTTCCTGCACCCTATATCACACCCAATTCACACACGAATTCTTAATAATGCCTCAATGCCCAGCCCCCTTACTGGGACTGGACATCCTTTTCAAATTCAAAGCTACTCTTACCCTAAACACTTTAACTCCAGCTACAATACTCCTGTTACAGGCAGTACCCAGCCCTGGCCCCTGGGGCTTCCACCTTCCCCTTCCCCTCAGACAAGGTTAATCCCTAGTATGGGATGCTTCTTCTCCCTCCATTGCTATGTGCCATTCCCCTAACCTTGTTAAATTGCTGAACCCCTCTTTGTTCCCTAATATTCCACAGTACCCCATCGCTAACAAAACCTAATAGGTTTAAAACCTTTCATACACAAACTCCTTTCTTCTCTTCTCTTATGGCCTACACACTCGCCTTTCAATACACCCATCCTTCTGTTTATAAAGCCTAACAGCTCATACCGTTTAGTACAGGACTGACTGTGACATGCGCCATTCCCAACAACTTACTTGGACAGTACTACCTCAGGGATTTCATGATAGTCCCCACTGCTTCAGCCAGACCTTAGCTCAAGACTTATCTGAACTTCCCCTAACCTCTAGCACTTTAATACAATATGTGAATGACCTCCTCCTTTGTAGCCCCTCCTATGAGGATTCACCGGCTCACACTGTTGCTCTCCTTAATTTCTTGGCCTCTGGGGGATATCCAGTTTCCCCAGCAAAGGCCAAATTTCTTCTCCTTCAGTTCAAGAGTCTAATTTCTGAACTCCCTACTCCTACTACAAAGGGTGAAATCCTTTCTTTCTTGGGGCTTGCAGGGTATCTTCGCCTATGGATTCCTAACTTTGGCGGCTAGCAAAACCACTTTATGGGGCAGCCAAAGGGGATCCTCCCATCCCTTTAGGTCCCACAAAGCCCATTCATTCTCCCTTCCAGTGATTAAAAGCCTCTCTCCTTGCAGTCCCAGCTGTATCTCTCTCAGACCTATCTCATCCTTTTATCCTATACATCACCAAAACCCAAAGATTGGCAGTCAGGGTTTTGAGACAAAAGGCAGGAGATATTTTCTCCCCGGTTACAAACTTCTCTAAACAACTAGATACCACATCTTGAGAATGGGCCCTTGTTTATGGGCCTTGGCAGCAGCTGCCCTTTTAGCATAAGAAAGCCTTAAACTAACTTTGAAACAACAAATGGTCAAGACCTTCTCAGCCATAAGGCCAAGTCAATTCTCTCCCTTTCCCGCCTACAACTTATTCACCTTACTTTCATTGAAAACTCCCAGTTCTCCTTTAAACCTTGCCCTCCCTTAAAATTCAGCCACTCTCATCCCAAAACACTCATGACCCTTAGAACACAACTGCATGGAGGCTTTAGACCTCTTTCTCAATCCCTTTCCACACATCTCCTGCATCCCATTACGTGGTTCATAGATGGGAGCACCACCTCCACGCCTGCCCCCCAGGAGGGTTATGCCATAGTAAATTTAACACAAGCTATTGAGGCTGCACAACTCCCAAAGGAGGTTCAGGTTATACACTGCACAGGACACCAAACCTCCCATGACCCCACAGCCCCGGGAAACAAACCAGCGGATCTAACTGCAAAACAGGCTTCTCAATCACCAGGCCCCCACTCTTCCTCTCCTGCTCAGGTCCTTCTCATGGCCCCTATGCCCTTATCCCAATACACACCCCCCAAAACACAGCACTTCCAAAATTTGGGGACACAGAGAAAGGACAACTGGTATACTCTCTCCGGTTGCTATGTCCTCCCTACCACACGAGCTGAGCCAAATCCTTTTGGATTTCCATAATTCAGTTCATATAGGCTATGACCCCTACTACGCCTTCTTCAGCCCTTATATTACTCTCCCCACAAAAGGACACGCTATCTTCTAACCTTAGCAGATACCTTTCCAGGTTGGATTGAGGCTTTTACCTGCACTTCAGAGGATGCTACAGCAGTAACGCATGCTCTCACCTCAGAAATCATCTTTCATTTTGGCCTCCCCACCAGTCACTCATTCGCCTACGGGCTGCCCCCTGCAAGAACACAGGCCTCAGCCCCTCAAACTTATGTCTGGTAGGCCCTTCACTCTCACACCTCTCCCTTCCAGCTCATCGCTTTCGGCCAGTATCTCCCTACTCTTTCACTCATTAGGGATCTTAGGGAACAGGCCAACCTTCTATTACCTCATCCTTCCCCCACCACCCTCTCAGACTTTAAACTGAGCCCAGGACAGGAAGTGCATATTAAGAGCTGAATCCCAAAGCCTCTCTCACCATGCTGGGAAGGGCCTTATACAGCACTTCTCACCCCCACCTCCACGGCAGTAAAGGTACTAGGAAAGGCCCCTTGGTATCACTTATTCTTGGTAAAAATAGCACCTGAGACTTTACCCAAAGAATCTGTTAACACCAAGCCAGAGGGGTCCCTCTGCTCAACCCCCAACCCGACATCTTACACTTCGTCCAGTTTAGGACCCACAAAATTGAAAATCTCTAGGACCTCCACTCTTCCCCCAATCCCAGAAGAAGGATGATCTTTCCCCTGGTGATTATCCTCTCGCTCTTGCAGGCCGCTTCACGTCCTTCACGCAGGAGCTGCTATTACACTATCTGTTCTAGTACTTGCTACAGGATGGGCAGCAGCTGCCCCAGGGCAGTGTGACATTATGGGAAGATTTCTCCTGGCCTCCTTTACCTCCTATCAGTAGGACGCTTTTTAGCAATGTCACCGTGGCAATGTCCTCTTTAAATTCTTTTGGCTCCTAACCCTTCGCATCCTTCCCGCATTTTTCCTCCTATCTCAATGCTCCCCCTTACCTAGAATATGGCGGTTCCAGGTCCTCAGGGATGATACAGTCCTCAGTGAATCAGACTGGTCCCAGAGAGATTCATCTGTCTCCCACCTTGCGAGAAACTTTTCGTGGTCACCCCCCTCCCCGTGGATGCAGCCCACAACGTTTCCACAAACGTCTCTTCACTTTCCTCTAATCTCACCTCAGTAGGGACTGTCAGCATTATGTGGGGACTGTCAGCGTTATGTGGGGACTGTCAGCATTGTGCGGGGCCTGCCCACACTCTGCCTCACTAACACCAAACGCTGCCACTCACTTACCCCCTCCTCATCCATGCCCTAAAACCGGAATATATTTCCTTTGTAAAACTACGTTATCCTGTTGCCTGCTCCCCTAACATGATTTCTTGCATATTCTTTTAACTCGTCCCTGACATCACCTTCCAGACAGATGGAGAGATGGAGATGGGACTGGGACTAACTTTGGTCCCCCCTCTCAGGAAGTGCCTCTGCTCCCTGCTCCCATAGGGCACTAATTGTACCTTTTAACTGGGGCAGGGATCCTTCCTGTAACTGGGACTGACATAGCGGGCCCTGCTACTGCCTCTCAAGTCTATCAAAAACTCTCAGAAGAACTAAGTGTAGATAGCATCTCCTCCCTCCAGTGACAGGTCACCTCACTCACGACAGTTGCTTTACAGAACTGTTGGGCCCTTTACTTCCTTACAGCTGAGAAGGAAGGCACCTGCCTCTTCTTGGAGGAGGAATGCTGTTATTACATAAATGAGTCTGGGGCAATCCAAAGCAACTTAAACCATTTCACTGAACCCTTGGATACCCTGGCTCATGTCCCTACTAGGACCCCTGACTGTGCTGGGACTCATCCTACTTTTTGGCCCCTGACTCTTTTGGTGTTTCTCTAATTTTTTGCAGGAACGTATACAGGCTTTCACCAACCAAAAGGTCACCAAATTGTTCCTGCAAGAAGGATATCAGCCCCTCAGAATCAGCGACCCTTCCCCAGAAGAATGTAGCTTCCCCACACGAAACCAATACCCCACACCTAGTTGTTTTGCCCACCAACATAAATCTTTTATTTTTTTTCATATCTTCTCCCATCTCCAGCAGGAAGTAGCTTCAGAAGAATGAGACTTTCACCCTTTTTCCTTCTTCTTATACTTAAAAGGCAGGAATGATGGATTTTGGACGTGGCCGGTGCCATTGTGCACACAATGAGCACAAGATAGCCGCCGGCCTCGTCTTCCACTCCAGCACCAGCCCCTCCCCCCCTCCCTTTAGGAGAAGCCTTCTGACTTAGAAACAACTTTCCAGCTTCTGCATCAGCACAGTTCTCCACCCAGTTACATCAACCGAATGGTCCCTCCCCCCATATATTTCACACCCAACAGCTAATATAAACTCTCACAATCCCATTGTTGCTGCTGTCCCCCATTTTCAGGGCAGCCCTGGGCTGTCCTCCACTTTGAGCACAGACTGGCAGATTTCTTTCTTTAATAAAGCTTGAATGGGACCTGGCATCTCAGCTCACTTTCTTTCAGACCTCAACTGATATGATCTAGCTCTAGTCACGTGGTTTCACACTGAAACACATGGGAAGACTTTCCACATGGGTTTTTCTTGGCTGCTGCTCAGCCACATCCCTATTCTTGGCTTGCACTGGGTGGATCTTGAATGCAGGACTTTATGAGTCAGGGTTACGGGCTCGTAAAACACACACGTTTAGGGTTTGCCTTGGCTCTAGCAAAGCCTGACCCAGCAACTCAAATGATGTTACCAAGTACCTTTTAGCCTCCAGAATATCCAGACGGTTCCCTCAGAGTCACAAATAGCCATCACAGCTCCTCACCTCATCCTCACAGCCCCCAGGCAGCAAGCAAAGGGGGTCATGAGGAGGACACTTCTGTGTCCCAGATCCCAGCAGACAGCTCCTGTGTCTCATTGGCTACCTGTGCAGCCCTAGACCAATCACAGTGGTTGGGCTTATGCTGATTAGTGTCGGGAGGAGCCATGTGCCTGGCCTCGGGCCTCGTTACCTGCAGTGGTGATGGTGAGTGGGTACCTGGGTGGTGGTCTGGGAGCTGCCAGGGAGGGAGGGGCTGCTGGAAGACCCCAACAGCTGATGCCCTGCTTCAGGCTGCATACACAGACCCAGAGATCCCCTCTTTTGGGTTCAGTGGGCCCTCCAGGAACAACAGCCGTCTGTCTGGGTGCTGAGTCCACTTGACCTAAGCCCGGCCGGAGCCTCATCCCAGTCATGCTGGAACATCTGCTGTGGTCTCCCCAACATGCATGCGGCCAGCAGAGCTCCCGGATGTCCTCATGGCTTCTGGGCTCCTCTGCCTGCTCCTCTGGCCTGACCACAACAACTGAAGCAGAGCTGAGAAGACCTTGAGGTCGTTGGCTCCAGTAGCCCATCCTGTACATGGGACCCAAGGCCTGCTGCCAGTTCCTTGTTGGCAGTGCTGGGTTTGGAGGCAAGGGCCCCAAACCGGGCCCACCCCATCCAGGCTCCCTGTCTGTCCTGCTCCTCCTGGGTACTGTGTGGCTTCCACCCTTACAGTGGGTCTGTGCGATGCCCAGGAACTGGTTGTGACAACAAACGGCAACTCCTGTGCTAAGGACAAGGGTCCTTTAAAATTTTTTTTTTTTAAAGATGACCAGTAAGGGGATCTTAACCCTTGACTTGGTGTTGTCAGCACCATGCTCACCCAGTGAGCAACTGGCCATCCCTATATGGGATCCGAACCTGTAGCCTTGGTGTTATCAGCACCACACTCTCCCGAGTGAGCCACAGGCTGGCTCCAAGGGTCCTTTAAATATTAAACATTGATATCATCCATATCAAATATTGATAAAGGGGCTGGCCAGTTATCTCAGATGGTTAGAGCACGGTGTTATAACTCCAAAGTCTTACAGCTGCCAAAAAAAAGAAGATTGTGCAAGTATTGATAAAGGATCAATAGTGCTTGGTCCTGGGAAGTCCACTAAAGTGAATGCACATAACACAGGGACTAGAGAGAGGGAAAAGCAAAACTAAAATTGATTAACATGCACTATTGTACTATTTATTTAATAAAACCAGGTAATATTTTTTATTCATTCCTTTTTAGAAATCATCTTCATGACTGAAGTACGATGCTCTTATTCTTAAGCCAAACATAGTTTGGAGGAAATTTTTCGACAAAACTGGGTGAGAACACAATGGTGCATCTTAACTTTGTGTTTTTTATTTTTGCAGCTGGTACAGAGATTGAACCTAGACCTTGGTGTTGTCAGCACCAGGCTCTAACCAACTCGAGCTGACCAGCCAGCTTATTCTTAAATAGTAATTTTTAAAAGTGACACCAGCTGGCATGTACTGCACACGAATCATGTGCTGGGCACCGACATGCTTTGTCTCATTTTGTGGCCAAAGAGCTTAGTGGGGTAGGGAACAGTTTGAAAGAGGTCGGGTGGGCTGGGCTGGGGCCTATGCCCTCAATCACACCAGTGTGCCCCGTTAAGCCAAGGCAGCCACACCGCACCATCCTTTGGAGGCCACTGGGTGAGTCACTGGGAAAAGAGCAAAGGAGCATATGAAATCAAAGACCAAGACAGAAAAAAGCAGGCCCTAAGCATTGCAATAAATTGGATAAAGACCAAGATCATGCAAACATTTTGTTGGAATTTGCAAAGGGGAACAAAGATGAATGTCAAGAATGACGAGCCAGTGTGGCTGCCTCTAGCCTGCAGTGAGACAGGGCCTGCACCACCTCCACCTCCTGGAGCCCCTGCCTCAGAGGGGTGCACTCTCCTGTGATAAGCCCTGAAAATCTAAAAGTGTGACTCAGAAGAAATGTTACTCACCAGAGCAGGCAGCTACTGCCGACTGGCATGGCATGGTGATTGCGTGCTGGAGCTAGACTGCCTGGCTTCAAATCCTGGCTCTGTTACCTGTGTGACTTTGGGGAAGTTACTCAACTTTTCCATGCCTCAGTTTCCTCATCTGTAAAATGGGTGTAATAATAACAGTACACTACGTGTATCAAATGGGTGAGCACTTGTGGCGATCTCTCAATAAATATGAGCTACGGTTGTCCCTGTTTTGCAAGCAGATCCCTTCTAGCACTCTTCTATGTCGTGTTGATCTTTTATGTTTAAGGTCGTTTTCATATTCTCACCACCATCGCTCTGTTTTCCTTGAGGCCTTGATCTTGCCTGCCCAGCACCCCCCAGGGAAGTTGTAGCTCTGAGTGGGGGAGGCATTACCATTCATGCAAAGTGCAGTGCAACAGGCCATCTGGAAATACACTGGCTGTCACAAAGTTCCAAAGGGCATAGCCACCCCTCGTTTCTAAGTAAATTCCAAGGAAACAGGGGCTGGGGGCATTCCAGAATTAGCCAGCCTTCCAGTTCCACATGCAATTGGTGGAAGTACTGGGCCTCCCCTCCTCCTGCTTGGAGCCCAGAGGGGACCCTGAGTGCCCAAAGGCACCAGACTTTCCGCTGCTTCTCTTTCCCTCCAGTGCCGAGGGTGAGGATTGCCTTGTGCCTGGCATGATTGCTTTAGAAGGCGGGTGGACGTGTGACATCTTGTGATGGCCTGGAGCCAACCCCTGGTATCCTGGTGGGATTGGCAGTCTTGGCGGCCCCCTGGCTGGGCCTTTCAGGCCCCTCTCCTGGGAGAGGTGGGGGAAATGGCCGGAGAGGGTCCTTTTCAGCTGTGGCCCAGGGCAAGAGGCTTGAGACCTTCCTGCTGTCTCAGCCCCCATAGCTGCCCCATTCCTGAGGTTCTGAAACTGCTGGTCCATTCTAGGAACTGCCCACTAACCTGCCACTAAACTCCCTTTCTGTTTAAGCTAGCTAGATTGGTTTCTGTTGCTTGCCACCAAAACAAATTAATTAAAAAGAAAAGAAATGAGGCAGATAGAAAAGAGAAGGTAGAATAGAGTTCTTAGACTAGAGAACACAATATGCATGCTCTTACATCAGTCCAACTCGCTGTGCAGCTTTAGGCCTGGCACTCAGCTTCTCTGGGCCTCACTGCTGGCCTCAGGCAGACAGGGTAGTTTGTTTGCCCAGTCACCTAACAGGCTGGGAGAGACCAGATGAGATGACCTCTGTGAAAGGGTCAAGGAGGGCCATGGTACTTGCTGGGGAGAAGGTGTCATGAGGATGTGGGAAAGGGCAGCAGGGCAAGTGCTGAGCCCCTTTTTCCCCATAGGCAGAGCTGCAGAGGAAGGTGGAGGAGAACGAACATCTGAGGCTGGAGCTGCAGTTGGTGGAGACTGAGAGGGTGCGGCTGTCCCTGCTGGAGGAGAAGCTGGTGGATGTGCTGCAGCTCCTGCAGAGGCTCCGGGACCTGGTGAGCTCATGGGAGCTGGCACATTCGGGGAAGGGAAATGTGCTCTCGGGAAGGAGCCCCTGCCTGTGTCAGGCACTGGGCATGGGCTCCCCTCACAGTAAGCAGACATGGAGGCTCAGAAATGGAGGTCCAGAGACGCCAACTAAAAGAAAGTGTTGGGTGGGGCTCCCTAGCTCATTAGATGAAGCTAGTGTAACTGTGATTTCAAAACCAGAAAGGAGAAATATAAAAAGGAAAATTATAAGCCAACATCACATTTAAACATGGATGCAGTTATTAAATAAAATACTAGCAAACCAAATCCAGCAGTGGTTAAAGAAATGCGACATGACCAAGTTGGACTTATCGCAGGAATTCAAGGATGAGCCCACATCAAAAACACCTATCGCCAAAATACTCCACATTGCAGATTAAAGGAGGAAAACCTTTATAATCATCTCAATAGATGCAGAAAAGGCAGTCAATAAAATTCAATCTGTTTTGATTATACAACTTCTCAACATATTAAGTACAGTAGGGATCTTCCTTAATCAGATAAAGGATCTCAACAAAATACTTCTCGCAAATCTCACACTGATAGGTGAAATGATAGGAGGAATCCTAAAACTGGACCCAAGACAAGAGAGCCTCTCATCACTGCTTGTATGATGACTAGAGGTTCCAGCCAGTGCAGTAAGACAAGAAAAAGAAAGAATACAGGATTAGAAGGGAAGAAACAAACCTATCATTAATTGTAGATCATATTATCTACACAGAACCCACAAGAGTACCTAGAGGTAAATTATTGGAATTCCTTGGCAAGGTGGCTGATAAAAAATCAGAAAACAGAAATCATCAGCAAAACATTTTTTTAAAAAATTTGAGACCTGTTAACTTACCCAAGATTTTACAGCCAGTATGAGGTGGAGGTAGGATTTGAACCCAGGTCTGCATGGCTCTGAGTGGGCTCTTCCCTGTGTACCAGGCTGCCTAGGACATAGGGCTGTCAAGGTGCCACCCAACGTCACACAACCTGGGCAGGCAGAGAGAGCCGGGATGGGCCTGACCGCTGAGTCCTGGCCCAGACCTGCAGGTAGTGAATGGCAGGGTTCCCAGCACAGGCTCTGGGCCTTACAGCCTGGCAGGAGGTGCTGGTCCTTCCACCTCCCAGCTGGGTAGCTTTGGGCAAATTTCTCATTCTTTCTCAGCATTGCTTTTTTGCTCATTAAAATGGGCATAATAGGGCTGGCCAATTAGCTCAGTAGGTTTGAGCACAGTGTGACAACACCAAAGTCAAAGGTTCAGATCCTGGTACCAGCCATTGCTAAACCAAACCAAAACAAAATAAAATAAGTGTAGTAAGTTGTTGCAAGGATCGAATGAGCAAATGCACAGAAATGCTCTTAGTCAGTTATTTCCCAAGTGCCTGCTTCGGCACATCAACAGTAATGCTTAAATACGTGATCTTTGATGAAGTGGATCCTGTGCACTGCTCCATCAACTCACCAAGTCTCCAAGAAGCCCAGTGCGGCCAGCCTAGGAGTAGGGGCAGGAAGAGATGATGGAGGGAAGGGTGGGGAGCTTTGTCCATCCCCAGGGGGCTGCACAGAAGGCCTAGAGGCCTCAACTCACCAAGTCTCCAAGAAGCCCAGTGCGGCCAGCCTAGGAGTAGGGGCAGGAAGAGACGATGGAGGGAAGGGTGGGGAGCTTTGTCCATCCCCAGGGGGCTGCACAGAAGGCCTAGAGGCCGGCAGTTCCACCCACTGAATAAGGAACAGCAGCCACAGTCTGATCCAGGCCTGTTTCCATTTTTTTAAGAACATATCAAAAAGAACCCTGGGGAAGATTTTGCTGAGCACACAGGACAATTTCAGGCACCAAGCACATGGTAGGAGAGTGCCCATCTTCCAGAGCCTGGACAGCATTGGAGGGCGTCCTGACCGGAAAGCTCTAGGACTCTCTGTCCTAAGTGTCTAGTCTGCAAAATGATGCTTTATCACTGCCCTGAACACCTGTGATGGAGTTTGGATGTGCTGTCCCCTCCTAAACTCATGTGGAAATCCGATCCCCACCGTGGCAGTGTTGGAAACTGATTGAGTCATAGGGCTGGATCCCTCATGAATGGATTAATGCTCTCCCTGGGGGAGGGGGGAATTAATGAGTGAGTTCTCACTCTATTAGTTCCCACGAGAACTCGTTGCTTAAAAAGACCCTGGCACCTACTCTCTCTCTCTCTTGCTTCCTCTTGCCATGTGATCTGCTTGTACCCGTTGGCTGCCTGCCACTTTCCACCATGAGTAGAAGCAGCCTGAGGCCCATGCCAGATGCAGCTGTCCCAGAATTATAAGCCAAATAAGCCTCTTTTCCTTATAAATTACCCAGTCTCAGGTATTTCTGTTATAGCAACACAAAACAGACTAAAACAGCTGTAGAGGATTCATAAAACAAATGTACTTCATAGGGCCTGGTTTTCCAAAGCCTTGCAGTTTCAAATATTGACCTTGCCAAGGACAGGAAATTTTCCCCAGGCTATTGAGTCTCTGTTGCAAGATAAGAATTGTAACACAGCAAGGTTGGTGGCTCAAAGACAGACAAGTTACTAATTGATATGTAAAGTTACTAAAAAGCTGCTGGAGGGAAAAGGAATGTTTGCTAAATCAAGCCTTTGTTAGTGGATCACTTAATTGCCTAACAGAATGTCATCTGACTTGTTTTTACTGAATGTTACCATCTTCTATTGTAAAACTTGTTAAACTGTACTTAGCAAAACCCCACCTATGTCTCTTCCTGTAACTTCTTGGTCTGGAGAATAAATGCAGGAAGAGAACCCCAATTCGTGGTTAATTTCCCAAATGGAAGAAATGCCTCACACTTGAGGAAGTTCTGGGATATTAACCCCTTTCTGGGGCTTCTCACTGCTCAAAAGAGATGGGCTTTGAGTAATCTTTGGCGGCTTTGTCACCCAGGGGAAAAGGGGTGACAAATCCATGGGAAGCAAAGCAACGAACAACCTGCAAGGAGTAGAGTCAGGAATAGGCTTTAGAAAATCATACAGAAGCCCTCAGGAGAAGTTCCAGATGGAACCAGTGTGGTCATAGCCAGTGGGAGACTGGTAAGTGCCAGCCATTTGAAAGGACCCAGTTCACTGGGCTTGCTGGGGAGGCACCTCAGGTGTCTTTAACCCCCTGAGTCCTCACAATGGCCTTGTAAGGAAGGTGCTATTATTATCCCCATTCTACAGATGAGGAGACTGAGGTGCAGAGGGTTGAGTGCTGGCCGTGCCAAGGCCTTGGTATTTCCTTTGAGCACTATGCTTCACAGCCCTGTTGACCTCACAGGTTTACCAATGGTGATGGGCTGGCCTCACCAGGCATCACTGGGCAGGGCTCAGGCATGTCCAGTGCCCCAGATGGTCTTGCACCAAGGAGAAGATCAGGAATTGTGTGCCAGAAGTGCCAGATCCTCGGTGGGAGAGGGGCAAGATAGGGAGGGAGCCGGGCAGGGCTGGGGAGGAGTGCAGGCCATGAAAGGAAGGAGAGTGGCTCTGTGGGCCAGGGCCAGCACACCAACCCTGCCCTTCCTTTTCACTCTTTCCCTCTAGAGGGGAGACCTGGTCCCTCAGCCATCCTGGATGCCCTGCACCAAGCCTTGGCTGGCTGCGAGCTCTTGCAGAGACAGCCCTTGGTACCAGCCTCTGCAGCTCCTGTGCTCCCCAACCCCCTCCTCATCTCTTGCTGAGGTTACTAGCCCAGCCTGCGGGCAGCCTGGTCAGCCTGACCACCATCAGACCAGCCTCCACGATCAGCCTGACCACCGTCAGACCAGCCTCCATCATCAGGCTGACCACCGTCAGACCAGTCTCCATGACCAGCCTGACCACCATCAGACCAGCCCCCATGATCAGCATCCATTATCAGCCTGAGCACCATCAGACAAGCCTCCATGATCAGCCTCCATGATCAGGCTGACCACCATCAGACCAGCCTCCATGACCAGGCTGACCACCATTGGACCAGCCTCCATGATCAGCCTGACCACCGTCAGACTGCCCTGCACAACTGGTCTGACCACCATCATGTCATCAGAACTCTGGAGGCCCTGGCTGCTTCTAAGACTGGACCCAAGCCCAGACAGAGCCTCTCGCTGCAGAGCCTAGCAGCCATCCCTCCCTTGGGCACCTCCCATATTCCCTCACAGCCCCTGCATTCCTGCTACCAGAGTCCACATTAAAGCCCTGCAGTTGCTGAATCACCCTGCACCTAATGCTGTCTCCCCTGCCCTCAAAGCAGAGGCACCCATTTTTCCAGCCAGTCCAGCCCAGAATTTCTTCCCTAGGGTCCCAGGATCTCCTCCCCTCCCAGTACTGTCCCCTTCCTTCCTCCAAAGTGCCTGCTGCAAGGAAACTGGCCCAACCTTTGGGACATACTTGGTCCACTGGGAAACTCCCCACACTCCATGAAATGTTGAAGACCAGGGAAGGCTGGGGAATGCCGTGGAGGGAGTGATCCCTGTAGGCCTCCTGCTGGAAGCTGGGCTGGAACGAGCTCTAGAGGAGAGGTGGAATTCACATGGGCACTGTACCTGTGTAAAGAAGCGGGAAGGGCTCTGACTTTGGCAAAACGCAAGAACGACAGCGCGGGGCCATCCAGGGCCCCCCTGCACACTGCCCAGAGCCCCTCCTCCCTGATCACGTAGCAGGTACCGGGCCTCATGGGGTCGCAGGAAGGAGCAAGACAAGGTGCCCGGTCTCACCTCACTTCAAATCCCACACGGGAGAGAGACACGCCAGCAAATAGCGCAGCGTGGGTGAAACCAGTGCCAAATCGAAGTTAAATAACATCGTGAGTGCCCAACCAGGAGTGCTGTGTCCAAGCCGAGGAGGCAGGTTCACTGCAGGCGATGGCAGGGGGGGGGGGGCACCTGGGCTGCTCTGTCTGAGCCATGGTGGGGAGGGGCAGGGGCAGGTGATGGGGGCCTTGGTGGCAGACGGGGATCTGAGATTTGATCCCACAGGCAACAGGACGTCATTAGAGGGTCCTCAGCTGCTGCGGGGAGGATGGACTGGAGGCAGGGACAGAGTGAAGAAGAGGCAGCTGCAGGACTGTAGGAGCAAGGGGACACAGAAGAGGGGGCTGTGGGGGAGGGAGGAGTTGAGCAGCAGCCACAGGGTGGCCCAGGAGCAGTGGACACTCCCGGGCAGGGACAAGAGGGAGGGGCTCGGAGACAACATGTTGGCGCTGGCCTTGGACACTCAGCCACTTGGACGAGTGCAGGAGGCACTGGGGAGCCACCACAAACCCGTAAGCAGAGAAACACAGGCCCACCTATTTTCAGATGGTTCCTGAAATGAAATAAAAAGAGACCAAGGCCACGGCCATCACGGAGGCCACCTTATCCCTGGTCCCGTCAGATGGGACAGGCCTTTTTGGGAAGGGCCCCAGGACCCGTCAGGGGCCAGTGCACAGGGCCGGGCCTGGGGAGGCTGGTCTGAGCAGAGGGGCTGCCTGCAGCTTGTGCCTCCAGCTCAGCCAGAGTCCACGGGGCCCTGCTTCCCCAGCTCTGCCGCTAATGACTGCACGACCCTGGGGGTGCAGACCCAGTGTGCCCCTGCTCAGTAAGGGGGTCGGCTGTTCCGTATCCTGATTGTGGTGGTGGTTACATGACCTACTCATATGTTAAAATTCAATGTGACCGAGTCTCAGAGTTAAAAACTCCAGGGGGACCCATTCATAGGGGCCACACTTGTGTGAGTTTTTCCTCCAGGAGCTCTAGTAGGTTCTCATGGTGAAGACTGAACAAAAATCTCCTCGTGCTTCTGGCGGGCGTAAGGGAAAAGTAACCATTTTGATATAGACCAAGAGCATTCTGTTCTTTTTAACAAGGCCTCCCCTCAAAAGAAACTATTTTCCCAGAGCCTAACCTATTGAGGTTTTATTAGGGCCTAACCAACCTGGGGGAAGGGAAATACCCAGCTCCCACCCCCTGTAGCCATCCTGTTCCACCTAAAGGAGAAAAAACCTGAGACGTTCATAGCCCGGGGCACAAGCTCACAAAAAGACCAAGACCTAATCACAAGAACACAGAAGGCTTCCCTCTCCCCTCTCCTTAACTCCACTTCGCTAAAGGCCTATTTACTAGAGTTCCTGTTGCCCAGTACATCATCAGTCCACCTTTCAGCAAGAAACCATAAGGCATATGAAAAGCAAAAGGCACAGTGTGAAGAAACAGAGCAAGCATCAAACCAGAACCAGCCATGGCAGAGATGCTGGAATTATCAGATCATGAATTTAAAACAACTACGATTATTATGCAGGAGCTCTAATGGACGAAGTAAACAACACGCAAGAACACAGGGATAGTGAGCCCAGAGATGGACATTCTAAGAAAGAAAAACACTGTCACAGAAATGAGGAATGCCTCCATGGGCTTAGTAGACAGGACACCACTGAAGCAAAAAATCTCCGAGCTTGACAATAAGTCACTAGAAGCTTCCAAAACTGAAAAGTGAAGAGAAAAAAGACTGGTGGGGGGGAAAAACAGAATACCCAAGAACTGTGTACAAAACTGTTACAAAACTGTTAGAAAGCGTGTAAGCTATGTGTAATGGGAATACCAGAAGGAGAAGAAAAAATAGAAACACAAACAATACTTGAAGCAATAATAACTGAAATTAGTGCCAGGCACCAAACTGCAGAGCCAGGAGGCTCAGAGAACACAAGCAGGATAAATGCAAAAACAAAAAGAAAGAAAAATATATATCTAGGCATCACATGCAGACTGCAGAAAATTAAAGAAAAAATCTTGAAAGAAGCCAGGGGAAAAGTAATACATTACCCATAGAGGAGCAAAAATATGAATTACATCTGACTTTTCAGAAACCATGCAAGCAAGAAGATGGTGAAGTGAAATACTTAATATGTAGAGAGAATTAAAAAACAAAACAAAAAACCCACAGTTCTGTATCCTGTGAAATTATCCTTCAAAAGTAAAGGAGAAATAAAGACTTTCTCAGACAAAGACTTAGGGAATTTGTTGCCAGTACATCTGGCTTGTAAGAAATGTTAAAAGTTCCTCAGAGAGAAGGAAAATTATATAGGTCAAAAACTCAGATCTACATAAAGAAAGGGAAAGTGTTAGAGAAAGAATAAGTGAAGGTAAAATAAAAACATTTATTTTTCTTATTCTTACTTGATCTAACTGATGACAGTCAATGTTCAAAATATTAATAGCAACAGAGCATGCTGTGATTATGGTTTATGTATAAGTGAGATGAACGACAGCAATGAGACAAGAGAAGGAGAGAGGAATCAGGAACGTTTTGTTATTATAAGGTACTTTCACTACCCGTGAAGAAATATAGCGTCATTTGAATGTAGACTTGGATTAGTAAATGTATACTGCAAACTCTAGGACAACCACTAAAAAAAATTTTTTAAAAAAAGAAGAAAGAAGAAGAAAATGTATAACTGATATGCTAAGAAAGGGGAGAAAACGGAATCATAAAATGCTGAATTAAAACCACAAAAGGCAGAATAAAGAAAAAGAGCATTGAGTTGAAACAGTAACAAGCATGGTAAACATGAACGTACTTGAAAATGTTCATAGAGAGATTTGTATTATCTTTCATTCTATTTCTCCACAAACTTTTTTTTTTCTTAAAGATGACCAGTAAGGGGATCTTAACCCTTGACTTGGTGGTGTCAGCACCACGCTCAGCCAGTGAGCAAACCGGCCATCCCTATAAAGGATCCGAACCTGCGGCCTTGGTGTTATCAGCACCACACTCTCCCAAGTGAGCCACGGGCTGGCCCTCTCCACAAACTTTTTGAAGTACCTTCATATGTCAACCACTTTAAACATCAATGTTCTAAGTGTACCAATTAGAAGACAGAGATTGTCAGGAGGGATCAAAAAACAAGTCCCAAGTATATGTTGTCTAGAAGAAACCCACTTTAAATATAAAGACACATATAGATTAGAAGTAAAGGAATGGAGAAAGATATTCCCAATGCCAATACTAATCAAAAGAATTCCAGAATGGCTATATTAATTTCAGACAGAAAAAACTTCAGAGCAAGGAAAATTATCAGGGTTAAAAAGGGGCATTACATACTGATAAATGGGTCAGTTCTCCAAGAAGACATAACAATCCCTAATGTGTAAGTACCTAAAAAGAGAGTAACAAAATAGAAACAAAAACTGATAGAATTGTAAGGAGAAATAAATAAATCCATCATTTTGGTTGGATACTTTAACACCCTGTATCAGAAATGGACAGATCCAAATCCTCAGGCAGAGAATCAGTAAGGACACAGTTGAACTCAACAGCACCATCAATCAATGGAATCTAATTGACATCCATAGAATATTTCATCCAAGAACAGCAGAATATGCATTCTTCTCAAACTCACAGAACATTCACCAAGATAGACCACATTCTGGGCCATAAAACACACCTTAACAAACTTTAAAGACTAGGCATCATACAATGCTCTCAAACAACAATAGAATTAAACTGGAATCAATAACAGAAAAATAGCTTGAAAATCTTGAAATACTTAGAAATTAAACAACTTGCTTCTAAATAACATATGGGTCAAAGAAGAAATCTCAAGAGAAAATTTAAAATACTTTGAACTAAATAAAAATAAAAATACAACCTATAAAATTTGTGGGATACAGCAAAAGCAATGGTTAGAGGGAAATTTATACCATTTAATGCATATATTAGAAAAGTA